TCACTCACTCACTCACTCATTCATTCATTCATGTCTGTTTCTACCTACTCCATTGTAAATTCCATCCTTAGGAGCAGGGCCCTGCTATCCTCATCATTCAGAACAAGGAAGGGCCCCCGAACAGGGGCCCAGGGAGTCTTCATTAAAGGGAATAATATGAACTGCCAGTAAGACTGTGGGTATTGGGTGGGAGAAATTCAAGGGAAGGAGCCAGCACTGTAGGGAAGGAAGGCTCTGCACAGCAGGCGGCACTGGAGATGGGTGGACAGCGGGTGGACTGAGGCTGGAGAAAGTCATTGACGTGATGGGAGTGCTCTGAGCAAAGGGATGTTAATGGGCTGTTTGGTCCATTACAGAGCGTGTTTAAGGTGTTCTGAAAGTTTGTTTTAGTAGAAATGAGAGATACTGTTGGGAAGACAGTAGAGACTATGTTTGAAAACTCTACAATGCCAGGTAGGGAAATCTTCACTCTACTCTCTAGTCAAAGGTGAGGGCCTTTAAACATTTTGACCAGGAGGTGTGTCATGTTAGATGTGGTACTTTAGAAAACTCACTTTTTGAGGTTATGCCCTCCATTTTGCCTCTTTTCCATTCTTTCTTTCCCTGAGATCTTAAACATTCCTCCACTCCCCACCCCTGCCTTTCTTTAAAAAAGACTTTCCCTAAACTGTTTTTATTCTTGGATGTCTGGCATGCTCGGACACTTGATTCCTCATGCTGCTTGGCCCAGTGTGCACATGTGAAAAATGAACATCATGGGCCTGATAAATGAGTACAACTACATGTTTGATTTTCACATGTTTGCATGTATGAATGTTGTGTTCCTAGGATTAAATCCAAAGAGGAAGCAAGTTGTGCTGTTTTATAGCTCTACCATGATTAACTGGTCAAATCTTAGGGGTCTATGTTGTGGGCATTCTTTATAGATGAAACTGTTTTGTACTGCTGTCCCTCAACTCTGCTATGCAAGATACTTGATGCTACAGTCTGTTCTGTCATAGATAAATTTGAGTGAGGGCCCAGTTTATATAGTTTTGGAGGACGTATAGGGCTTTTCCATTCTGTTCTTAGATTGATCAAACAAACAGCTGCTATCCTTCTAGTTCAGTCCACTCAAAGACTGATAAAGCCATTACTACGATTGTTTTACAACGACTTCCTATTGTTGGACTCTAAGCATTGCAAACAAAATTTGTTACTTCTTGTAACCAAAAGATAAAGAAGAAAATACATTCAAGGAGCTTACAGTACTTCACAAATCAATTTTATTAATTTAAACACAAAATTAATGGAGAAAACCTCTGTACACAATTGCAGACACAACACACCTTTATACAGTAAAGCCAAGATAAACTTTGTCTTTTCAATCTGCAGAGTACAAAAACATAAAATGAAAAGGCTAAAAAATTGCCAGATTGTGTTTGCTTCAAGCAAAAAAATTGAACAAATTCAATTGTTGAACAATTTGGAGAATTCATAACTAATTCTAGCAGCAACATGAAACTTCAGAAAAGGATAGAGTAGCTCTTTAGCTACTTAAGATCAAAGCTGGTGTATTTTTTCCCCCAACACAGTATCAAAGACAGTTCATCCACAACATAATTTCATGGCAATGGAAGGCTTCTGACGAATGAAACTGGTGCCCAAACTGACCACTTTTGGGGAACCTGTCTTATGGTATAACAAAGGTAACAATTTTTATTTCCCAATTTATGTAGGTGAACAGTAACATTATTTCCTTGGTGGTGATAACTGGGCCATGTCCACTGCCAGCAATGAACTTTTCTGGGAGAGCAGGAGGTTGAGGGGAATGTGGAGGAAAAGAGAGGGAACATGAATGTAGGGAATAATGTAAAGTTTTGCTGATTTCCAGATGTGGTAAATCCTCTTTTATCTAAACAAGAAATTGCAGACACTATAATCTAAGTACATGAAACCTTGGCTAGTCTCCAACTCATGAACCATTTTATTAATAAAATATAGCTATTGTCTACACTCTGTGGGAAGAAGCATTTGAATAATCATTTTTTTCAAGTAGTTACATATAATACATTAGAATTGAAAATGAAAACATGAGGTTGTAAGAGGACTTTTTTTTCCCAAATTATTTAAGACTGTTATTTTACCGCAGTCCTCCTGATAGCATAAAGAAAAACAGAACCGATGGTGAAAAAATTTGAAAAATGAAATCCTATTGACATCCATGCTTTTGGTCTTGACAACATTGTCTAAAAAAAACCCCATTATCTACATATTTATACCCAGTATTTTGGTAAGGCACTGCACGAGTTTGTGCATATACTGCCTCATATTTCACTATCAAGGCATTGCTACCTTTCAATATCATTTTCCTAAACAATATGTAAAAGAATCATCCATTATTACAAATTTACACCAAAAATTCTTTCTGTACATGATTGTCTCAGTGATGTACATATTATACGTTTAAATTAGACATACTTTAAACTACTTTGCAATGTGCTAAAATTTAAAGTACTTGCTGTGTCATGAGGCAAAGGCCTTTAATCACTTACTTCTTATAGTATTGTCCCTTCAATGATTTGATTGATGTCAAAAAGTCTGTTTGAGTGAATGGTATGGTACTTGCATTATACCTCATAAAGCTGTTTAAAAAAGTCTTCATAAATAAGTAGAGATGTAGAGATTACCCTGGGTATGAGACGCCAAAAAGTAAAACTTCTTTACAAGAAAATTCCCCCACTGGTACTCGGGAAATATGTTTCGGTCTTTGTTGTGCAATCAGGTTTGCTGTATTGGAGAAGCCGTTTATGTCACATTGAAGATGCTAAAACCTTAAGCGTTTGCAGGTCCTTTCTTCACAGGTTTGAACCATGCAGTTAATGTGGCAAAGACACATTACGCTGTGCTAGAACATTCTCATGGCTTATTTTCACTGGATTCACAGTACTGGAGTCAACAGCTGAAGAAATAGATGTGGTCCTTCATTTACTGCAAGGGCAGAGCAGAGGACGGACAGCAGGTGTGCATCAATGTGTTGGAAATCAATTTGCTAGGCCAGCGCTGACACGAGACTGAGGCCTGTGGGATTTGTTCCTGGTTACAGGGCAGTTGTGTGGTTCCAAAGTGCTATGTGGCTGTTACAGGTACTCCAGTTCCAAGGCATGATGTAGGGCCATGAGGTCCGAGTGGCTGGAGACCCTCCAGAAGGGCATAGCATGCTGAGAAGGGGGGCAGACACACGGTGAGGGCAGAGAAGGCTCCCAGCACAAGCCCTCAAACCTGCTTCTGAAACCCTCTACAATGTTCATCCCCTTTTTTCAAAATTGTGAAAACTGCCAGTTAAGATCTTAACATCACATCTGTTTAAGACAAAAATTCGAACTTAATCCTCCCTTAAGAATACATTTTAAAATGTAATCTGGAATCTGTTTCTTTTAAGAAGGTGATGGATAATAAGTGCATTTATACTGTGACTTGAATGCCTTTCAAATTATGTATCCAGTAGATTTTTAATGCTAAAAATTTAAGCAGTTTTCCTTAGCTGGTAGTTTTTACATGTTTTAAAACTTAAAGTTGCCTCTTACATGAGCAAAGATTGCTCATTTGTTTATCAGGCATTCTTTGCATTGACTTTCAAATGGTTTTATCATATGGGTAAATGTTAAATGAACATCTAAGGTGGGCTTTTTTGTTGTAGTGGTTTAAGCTGAAAATCTATTTTAAATGAAGAGAATGTTTGCGAAACATGTCAACCAGAGATTTAAAAAAACAAAGGTTACCTCCTCCATGAAGGATGAAAACATGATTATAAACTTTTTCTGCTCAAAAGTACTATAGTATTTATGAATCAGCAGTATCTTTTTCTTAAGATTATTTTTCAGAGGACAAATTTTTTTTTCAGCCTATAGAAAACCAGGTTTGTTTTTTACACAAAAAGTAATTTGCGATTATAGTTCTAAGGAATTAAAAAAATTCAGACTAATAGAGTTTGGCATGGGGATTATCTACATGTAACGGGAAATTGTCAACTATTTTACATTCATTCATGAAGTTTTTGGGTTTGCAGGTATGGTATAGAAGACATCCATGGCCTGCCCTCTCAGTCTGTGGGTAACAGAAATGTACAATTACCATGAGCGCTCACCTGTGCGTTATAATAGGAGGAGGAGGGGGTGCTAATTCCCTTCGCCTGGGGAACTAGGGAAGCTCCTGACAAGAGGAGGTAATAACTGAGCTAAGTATGAAATGATGACCATTCAAAAGAACACTTTAATCGGAGTGTGTGTGTTCGGGGGCAGAGGATAAAAGAGAAATTCACTGTTAGGATACTAGCTGTGTGTGAAAGACATGGTTGGTATGTGATTGGCTGCAGAAGCCAAATGGTCAGGGCTTGGTAAGTCCTGTAAATGACAGTTCATTATTATATATTTAAAATATATTTATATTATAAAACAAGGCTTATTAATCATGAGCTATCAGTGATTTGAGTGTAGTATCAGGTACTAGCTAAGCACTTCACATAGACTCTCACGTGGGACTCTATAACCTCACAGATAGATAGGCATTATAATCATTTTACCAATAAAAAATCTGAGGCTTAGAAAAGGAGCAAAGAAGTTTAAATAGCAGCTGGTAAGGAGTGGACCCAAGGTTCATGCCAGCCCTGGCACGAATCTGAAGCCCAAATGGAGCTGTAATGCTGCCTATTCTTCATGGCTTTTTTATGAGCTATGTAAACTGTCAGCACCATAACACATCTTAAAACACACACACACACCCTCCTTTCCATGCTGTTGGGTAAGGCACACTGAAAAATTTGAGTGACTATCACACATAGATCAGGTTTAAAAAATGTTTGCTTGGTTACATGCAATTTAAAAAGCTTTCTTTTCCTTATTATAATAGAAATTAGAAATTCATGTGCATTATAAAACATTTATAAAATGTAGAACTGTGTTAAAAATGCAAATCACTTTTAATTCTACTCCCTAGATAACCTTTGTAAATATTTTTCTCTATTTCATATAAGACACTCATATTTGAAATTGTGTATATACAGTATATACCATTCACCATCCTGTTCATTTTACTACTGAATCTCAAGTCCATTTTGACATGTTTTTAAGGAACATCATTCACTCATTATTTTAAATGTTTTCAAGTATTCAACTGTACATAACATTCTTTTATATTTCATCATCTACTTGGTACCTAATATCCCTTTTTACTTCTAATTAACTATTTATTTTTATATTTCATTTGCTAGAGACTCATGGCACCTACCCAAAGCTGTGTCCCATGAACAGATGAATAAAGGGAGCTGTTGAATAGTTACACTGCCTTTATGTATCATTATTTCAGGATACAACACAGGAGGCTGAACACTCGATAGCCACCAGAAATTTCTGGATGGCTATCTTCATTAATACATGTACAAGAAGTGGAATGATTTTTTTTTTAGAGTAGGTATAAATTTTTTGCATGCTGATTATTTGAAGTCAGATATTTCTCACAGACAACAGTACCAATGTGAAAGCTATTAGTGCACTCAGCAGCACATACTATAGAATGCAATGTGTGGCAGAGAACTTGAAAAGGAAACTGAAAAAAATCCAGCTAATTCTTCAGACAGTTAATTGGGCATTTGATTCCATAGTAAAGAAAGGACCACACAATAGCTGCATATCTTATCTTTATAGGTACAGGAGTTGATGTCAACCTGGAGCACATCTGTTTCAAACTATTTTACTTTTAAACCATACTCAAAACACATTATAGAAAGGTGAGATTATCCACAAAGACCCCTGAATTGGTTTGTTTACTGCCACTAAAATATTAATGGCTTTCATCTTCCTATATATTGTATTAATAAAAACATGGTCAAGCAACAACCTGAAATAAATTCAAATGATTAAAATATACCTGTGGTATACAGCAGACAACTCATTCTATTTCAATGATGATAGTCATTCATTTGAGCAGAAATGTACAAGGTTCTACACTGATAACTGACAATCTTTAGGTGTATGTGAAAGAGAACAGGTGGTCTCTGTGGACACTCCCATAAAAGGACAGCAATTCCACCCTCAGCATCATTTTATAACATGAAGGGTGCTGATCTCTGTTAAATCAGCAGTTCTATTCTACAGAAATCATTGGCCTTCTTGTCTGAGAAACATATGGTTAATATTGGCTAATTATATGAAAACTGAGACTAGGGAAAAGGATAGGAGACTCAAATTCATGTTCTATTTATTTTGCAATATTAGTTCTAACTAGATATATATTGATGTGAAGATCTTATGGATATTTGAGAGTTTCCCAAGACAAGTGGGTGCTAAGCAAACCATTTTTTTTCTGCATCAGTGTTTAGCCTGGAACAAATATTTCTTGTATCAGAGAAATGAGGGCAAAAGAGGAAAAGAAAAGCAGATGCCAGAATGAGGAAACCTGTGTTGTTAAACTCTCAACTCTGTCATAAGTCAAAATTATACAACTAATGTCAGAGTTTCTTTGGAGCCCCAGTTTATTTATCTGTAAAATGAGGGTGTGGGGGAAATGATGCAGGGTTGCCTCTAGCGTTAGCAAAGTCTATGACATATTCCCCACTGTCAAGAACCAGCAGTGTAGGATTAAGAATCAAAATAAAAACTTATCCAGAGCAATCAGGCAAGAAAAAGAAAAGGCACCAGAATTGGCTTAATACATATAAAATTAGACATAGCTTAATACATATAAAATCCTAAGAACTCCACCAAAAAATTGTTAGATCAATGAATTCAGCAAAGTTGCAGAATTCAAAAGTAACAGAAAACAGTAGCATTCCTAACAATAAATTATATGAAAAAAAAAAGATAAAATACTTAGGAATAAATTTAATCAAGGAGGTAAAAGATGTCTACACTGAAAACTGCAAGACAATAGTGAAAGAAACTGAAGAATATACACATAAATGGAAAGCTATCCCATATTAATGGATGGGAAGAATCAAAACGTCCATACTACCCAAAGCCATCTATATACTGAATACAATCCCCATCAAGATTCCAATGACTTTTTAAAAAATAAAAGGCCCAGAATGGCCAAAGAAATCCTGAAAGAACAAAGTGGGAAGCATCATACTTTCTGATTTCAAGCTATATTATAAAATTAGTTCTAACTAGATATATATATTCATACAGGTAACAAAACTAGTATAGTACTGGCATAAAAGATATATGAAAACAGAATTGATAGCCCCAAAATAAACCCATGTATATTTATGGTCAACCAATATTTGATAAGGGAGCCAAGAATACTCAGTGGAGAAAAGACGGTCTCTTCAATAAATGATGCTGAGATAATTGGATAATCTGATATAAAAGAATGAAACTAGACCCTTAAATTATACTACTCACAAAATTAACTCAAAATAGATTAAAGACTTAAATGTAAGACTGGAAGCAATAAAAGTCCAGAAGAAAACATAGGAAGAAAGCTCCTTGGCATGGGTCTTGGTGATGACTATTTTGGATAAGGCCTCCAAAACACAAGCAACAAAATAAAAAGTAAGTGGGACAACATCAAACAAAACAAAAAAAGCTCTGCACAGCAAAGGAAATGATCAACAAAATGAATATACAACCAATGGAATAAGAAAAAATAGTTGCAAACTATATGATGAGAAGGGTTGATATAAACAATATGTAAACTCATACAAATCAATAACATAACAACAAATAATCTAACTTAAAAAAGGGCACAGGACCTGAATAGACATTTTTTAAAGAAGATATACAGACAGCCAACAAACACATGAGAAGTTACTCAACATCACTAATCACAGAAATGCAATGAGTAGCAATTAAAGCCAATGAGATATCACCACACCTGTTAGAATGGCTATCTTCAAAAAAATAAGACAACAAATGTTGATGAGGATATAGAGAAAAAGGAACACTTGTGCACTGTTGGTGGGAGTGTAAATTGGTACAGCCACTATGAAAGAATGTAGTACTGCATGATCCGAAAATCTCACCTGTGGGTATATATCAAAGGAAACAATACTATATTGAAGAGATACCTGTGTCCACATGTTCATATTGACACAATTTACAATTGCTAAGACATAGGAACAACCTGTGTCTATCAACAGATGAATGAACAACATACATAACAGAATGTTATTCAGCCATAAAAAGAAAAATCCCATCATTTGCGACAACACGGATAGACCTTG